TTCTTATTTGTTTGAGAAAAGTTCAATAGAAACAACAGATGAAACTGGAAGATCTTATTCAAGTATGCTACAATGAAGCTAGTGGTTTTGACATTATGACATGAGCAACTTTTCCAAAATAACTCTCAAGTCTTATCTGTTGACAGTGTTTCAGAGAAAACAAGGCCTACTTGATTAGTCTTTCTAAATATATCCTCCTAATGAAAAAGCATTGGTTATTGTTCCTCAGGATGACTGAAATGAGAAATTCTCTTACCAAAATATGCACAAATATTCATGGAAAGAATTCTGTTTCCTTTCATCATATACATATATGTGCAAAATATGAATAACAGCATGTCAACAGTGCTGTTGAAGCAGAAAAGCTTTGTCTGGAAATAAAATGCCCCCAATGTGTCAATATGAACTTGGATTCCAACATATGCAAACATTTGATATTCTTTTTTTGCCTTAAATGTTTAAAAAGTAACAGGATGATAAAAAAATCTTAGGAAATGTGTGCATGAAAAAGAATTAAGACATATAGTGTGCACTCTCTCTCTCTCTCTGCTGAAATAAACAAAATGACCTTCTGGTGCAAAGACACTGATCATGGGCAAGGGACCCTTCAGTACAATTGTTAAAAAATAATATTTCTAGCCTGGTAGTTACAGACTTCAGTGACACCATTAAAAACCACCTGAGTGGCATTTGTGTTAATGAAACACCTAAGATCTTTTTCAGGAGATAGGGCCCCTTCCATATGAAATAGTAAGGAAATAAATATTCAAATGGAAAAAGAAAGAATTACACACACAACACATATACATGAAAATATCTCATTGTACATAGATAAGTCAACAGACAAACATACAACACATTTATAGAAAACTAATCATTGTCCTGGCAGTTAGTACAGTTCGTATTTATTTATTTATTTTAATGTGATTTTTTTTGTTCAGGTTCCTACTAGCACTACTAATATGAAATGGGACAGAATAATATTATGGATGAACCCATGCAAAAGTGATATTGGGTGGTATTCAGTAAAGTCACACTCAGAGATCAACAAACACGAGTGGCTTAAGTCAATTTATTTCAGTGGGTCTACTTTGAATACAACTTAGTTGGATACAACTTGCAGACCAAAAATCTTTTGAGGAAATCTGTTTCATTCATTTGACATGTGGACTACCTGAAAAGCAACCTCTTCAGGTTATTATTTAAACACACAGCTCATTTTAATTGTTCATCAAGGCTGAGCTTCAGCACCACCAGTTGGGTTTTGTTTGTTTGTTTTTGTTTTGCTTTAGGACTGTTCATACTACAGTCCTTTCAACAAAGGTTGTGCTGTAAGGTGGACATATGGCTCTTAAAAAACAAAAAAAAACAGTGTTTGGATACGCTCATGTCTTCGTCTTGTGCATCTCACTAATCATGCATCAGAACATATGGGTCAGCCTTCTTCTTCAAAACAAAACTTTACTTCAGAAATATAACCTTCAAAAGAGTGATTGCTCCACAGAATTCACAAAGATCAAGTTTCTCAAGTGCCGCTCCTGCTCTCAAATACAGCAGCATCACAAACAGTCTGTGCTAAACACAACCTTTCCTTCAGCTAAACCTTCCCACAGATATCTGGCAAGGTCCATAATTAATGTGCTTTCTGCAGTTCTTTGGAATCAGTATTTCTCCCACATTAGTCGGCATGGCTCTTTTCAGTCACCTCTCTATTCAATATATCAAAGCAGCTATTAGGAAACACTTGCTACCTTGAGATCATGTCCTTTGCATGCTTCAGTTCTCCTGTGAGAGAATACATCTTCCCTCCTTCTGATGTCTCTCACAGTGACAGCATTTTTCACTCGGAGGCAACTAGTATGCACTTTAACATGCAGAGGCAAGAAGCAAGCACTTTACGTCATTTTAAATATAGAGACATCCTGCCCAGGCGACTGTGTGAGCTGCAAACAAATTCCTAAGTACTTTGTGGGGTGGGGAGAAAGAGAGACTTGTGCATCAATCAAAAGTATCATGGCAGTAAAAATAGGTCAGTGAGACCTAATTATACCAACTGAAAACATATAGCCAAAGCAACCGTTCACGCTGAAGTGAACCTTGCAGAAGCATTTAGGTTTGCTTTTATTTTTTCCCAAAACAACAAAAAATATACACGTCAGGGGGTGTAGAGGAAACAAGATTAGGAAATCCCACTATAGCGCATTTGTTCTTGTTTTTTTTCTTTTGTGCTGGGCTGTTCTCATTCTGTGACATCAGTCTGAGCCATTGGAAGCACAAGATGCACATGAACTGAGCTGAGACATCGAAGCCAGCCCTTGCAGAATTCATTTCAGAGCCTGAATAGGTCACACTGGAAGGTGGAGAATGGAAGCAGGAGCTGCCACCTTGACCTGCCAGGGGGAGAGGTTTCTAAACTAAACTAAAGGGGAAAGAAAAGGGAGAATCTGAAATATGACCTTCATTATAATGAATAAATGAATGCTGGATGGTAATCAAAGTGTAATAGGAACAGAAGGGCAGCAGACACTGGGTGTTGTCATATCTACTTCTCAGGCTTTGGGGAATTGGCTTCCTACTCTGTGGCAGTAAATAAGAAGTTCAAATGAAAGGAACGTCTTACCGGTTAGATAATTTAATAATCACAGTGAGAGACAAAAGAACACGTCTCCCAAGGATGGCGGTGCTCCCAATTAAGGCTCACTCCCCCCTCCATCCCTATTAATGGACGTCACTCCACGTCTTGTAATCTGATCTTGTATCATCTGTGCTTTCTGTTCTGAGACTTTCTGAGCTCTTCACGACCTTGGGGAGGGTGGTGGAGGAATGCTGTCCAACAACTGTGAATCTGTTAACCTTCTCTCTCCCAGTGTTGTTTCTTCTTCATCATCTTCTTCTTTTGGCTGCTCCTCATCCAGTATTTCCCAGCTTCTGCCTTCTGAACTATGCTCCTCTGCAAACCACTGTTCCAAATCTACGCTGTCCTCCTGCTCCTGGGAAGATTGAGGCTCAGGGGGAGGGGGTGGCTCACACTATTCCTCCACAGTGCAGCCCTCCTCAGCAAGGTCCCTGACACTACTTTTTGGGGGAAGACTAAAAGGTCAGGGGTGGCATAGTAAACGTTTGCATTTGGAAGGTCGCAGTTTCAGTCCCTGGCATCTGCTAAGTAGGGGTGGTAAAGACACTAGTCTGAAGTCCTGCCAGTCAGTGTAGACAAGAGTGACCTAGATGGAGTAACACTGTTGCCACTGGGGCAAGACTTTGCGTCAGAAATCCAGGGTTCCACTCCACAGGATGAGCAGAAGGGCCTTTAAATGAACGGAGGTGGACACACAGCATTTTATAAATGTAAGCCTGCCTATCTCCTCCCCCTCAGGAAGAGATAAGCTCCCCATAGTAAGGCATCAGGACTGGGCTGATTTAAAGATGGCTTGGTCCCTATGCTCCGATGTGTACTTTTCTTGTTCAAGAGCTCAGTAGAACACAGAAGGTGTCACATTCAGTCCATACTCTTTCCTATTAGTGTTGGGAAAGATTCCTGTCTGAAACCCAACGGACAGCCCCTGCCAGTCAGACAGTACTGAGCTTGGTGGCCTATGGTCTGACTTCCTAGAAAGAAGCTTTCAGTGATCCAAGACTATGCCTAATAATTTGCCCTTTTTCTTATCCAGTAGCTGCACTTTTTATGTAAAGGCAAATGCTTTTTTTGTTAAGTCGCATGCTTTCGAGCCAAGTCCCCAGCTGCTCTCCTCTTTCCTTTTAAGAAATGACAGTCTTATGCCAATGAGGATGGAGTGCTTAGCCAGCAGCCTTTTTTTGTGCTAGGAATAAGAACATTATATTAAAAGGTGGAAGGGAAAACTGTCTGCACCTGAGGCAGAATTAAGATCACAATGAGTCGCATTAATAAGGAGGACACAGATGAAGGCAAAGATGAAGCATGGGCTTCTGCAAAGCATACCGAACAATTGTACCCATTCAGATTCACAAAATGGTTGTGGCATTCAGTGTATCCCTTCAATTTGGAGACCTATTAGTCAAGCAGAAAGGTGAGAATGGAGACAACAAATGCCTTTTGTCTCACCAACTGTTGCAATAGTACAAGGGATGGCAGCATTCCACATATTCAGTTAGCTGTATAATAATAGTGGGAAGATAATTTGCATTGTCGGTGAGACATATTCATTGACCACTACCCCAATACAATCCTATTGCCACTAATGTACTTTCTCAAACGGTGAGAGGTTCCAGGGATGGCACTTACTTGATTTTGGTTCCCTTTGGACGGTGAGATAATTGGAGGCTTAAAGAGTTTCTGTAATGGCTCAGTTTATTTATAAATACATACACTCCCTGCCCGCCCACCTCCCAAAGCTGGACTCAACTGGTCTTTTCCAGGGCTCAAAATCAACTCCTCCCTTTCAGCCATGTTAGGACTCAAGCTGCCATTTCTTTGTTCTTATACGCACAGAGACCTAGAAAACATTGTCCTTAGTCAGGGGAAAGAGCATGTACCCCCTCCCCTTAGGACTGAAATACTTTAAGCAGTCCTTTTTTTTTTTAACCCATGAACTCTTTAAATCCCCTTTGAAGTTGCCACCTTATATCAGATGATTGGCAGGTGGAAAGCCCTGCCCACATGTTAAAGTGGTATTGGCTTACAGGGGGTAGGAGAGCTTTGGATCCTGCCTGCTGTGCTCAAAAGGTCTTCCTCACCTTTGCTGCTCTGGAACAGCTCAGTCAGTAGAGCATGAAGCTCTTAATCTCAGAATCTTGGGTTCAAGCCTAGAGTTGGGGGAAAGATTCCTGCATTGCAGGGGTTGGACTAGATGATCCTCAGGGTCCTATTCTATTCTATTCTATTCTATTCTATTCTATTCTGTTCCTTCACACCCAGAATGAATACTTGACAAATTAAGCATTTGTTTAAAAAGCTGTAGAATCATAAGAGTTGGAAGGGTCCCTGAGAATCTGTTAGTCCAACTCCCTGCAATGCAGGAATATGTAGCTGGAGTTGAACCTGCAACCTCAACTTTTTCAGCACCATGTTCTAAACCAACTGAACTATCCAGCTAATAACATAACAAGGAATATATTGTGCAAATCAAACCACATACTTGCAGTCTGGTACAATCTGTACAGAGGGTGGAATGGTAGAACGAGACAAAGAAGAAGGCCTCCTTCTGTAAGAGACCTGCTCCCCTAAGCCTAATGGTCGCAGAAGGCCAGGTGGGAAATCTCTCACCTCTGCCTTCAGAGAGTTTGCCTTTTCCAAATGTAGCAGGTAAATTCACACCCAAATTAAGGTGGAATCTACACACATTTTAAAAAAAGCTGTAAAAATGCTTTTTTTAAAAAAAAAAAGTTTTGAAAAATACATTGAATCTGGCATAGCTCACTGTTGCCATCTAGTGTCACATTTGTATATTGCACCTTGCAACACATTTAAAACATTTTATTTGCAGCTGTATAGCTGAGTCCTAAGGCTGGGAACAGCATTTCTTAACATGTATATATAACACTTCAGAGTGCTGTGCATATTTTACATAGGTTAGTTTGTCAGCAGTGTCTTAGCGTTGGTTGCTGGCGCCCAGGGCAAGGCAAGTGTTGTGCCTCCCTGGTAGACCCAGCAGCCCCTTGTCCCCCCCACACTATGCCACTGCTTGACAGCAACACTGTAAGGGAGTTGTGTCATTAATTAGACACAAATAGGAAATTTGTCTTTTCTCCTGCACAGTACTGGATACAGACTGTTTATGTTTATTCATTTTCACCATATGTTCTGAAATGAGACAAGTGTATGTTTTCCATATAGTACAGGTGGACAGAAGACAACAAATTCCCCAAATCACGGCAAGCATTCTATGACCTAAGAGCAACCTGACAGTCGTAGCAAGAGGGCATTGGCTAAAAGCACAGTTTGATTGCTTGCCCTTGTAAACTAGACAGTTGACCCATGATAAATGTGCTATATCAACAATGTCCAAAGCAACCTTGAGAATACCTGAACATAACTGCTTTTAAGCAGATCCAGCTGAGAAAGAAGTTGTTGTCTGAAAGACTAGAGGGCTGGACGGAAGCACAGAGAAAGAAAACTAGAACATGATGAAATAACAAAAAACATAGTTGGAATGGCTATTAGATACTAAGGACAGTTTCACTAAAGTATTCCAAACTAAGCTAGAACATCAACACAGTTTTTTATGCTCATCTAGCAAAGTAGATGAGACAAAGGAAATGTGTGAATAGCACTCAAGTATCTTTCAAGTTTTGAAAATAGCAGAAGCAAAGGGGTCAAATATAAATCAAGACCATGTTGTAGGAGAAGTGGCTTTTCTGATTAAAAATCCTCCCCTGCTAAAGTTATTGTGTGCCCTGTTAGGAAAAACAACACACACACACACACACACACACACACACACACACACAGCAAATAGCAGCTTGAGGAGGCTCATTACAATAGGGCATGGGAGGGGTTAAAACTTTCCCTTTCCTCTAGCAAACCCTCTGATTTGTTTCCCCATCCCATGGCTTCTATTTGAGACCACACCTACTGAGGCCTCCCTGACAAAGGCGGAGAAGCACTTAGGCTACTTTCTTAGTCCAGCATTAGAATTACTATGGTTGTTAAAACACTATAATTTTAAAGTTCTCATTCATATGTACACTTGCCCTTTGCCATCTACGATGCTAATGCTCAACCTTGTTTTGACCCTGAGAAAGAAGAAATATGAATAGCATGGTTCAAAGGACTTTTGTTCAAGAGGGAAGGATTACAAAGGATACAGTAAGGACTTGGCAGGTTTTGTGCTCAAAAGACGTGTTTCCAGAAGTCAAATATTGCTCTAGGAGAAAACATACTGTGGGCTAATAGATTCTTTTCATTTTCCACAAGCAATGACCTTTTAAAGTCTTGGGAGTTTAAATAAGCTCTCTTTTTTTGTTACAGCTAAAACAATAGCTCCAAACTAATTTTTTTAGGTGGGGAAATGAAACTGAATTAGCTACACATTAGGAGAGTCTCTCTTGTTCCCTCTTTCCTCGCTGTGCTTCTCTTTCTATCTACTTTCTTCCCACGTGACCATTCCCTCCCCCTCTTAATGAGAATACCATCTCCTATAAATCAAACATTAAACTTTATGGCCCAGCAGAAAATTAACAGTAAAAATGTCAACAACAAATTTCCCTGGCCCTCCAGAAACAAAGAAAAACATTCCTTGCTTTCCTTGAGTTTCTGGCATACGGAAAGTTAACAGAGGATGTTCTGCTCATAAAATTCAATGGCTTCTACTGCAACACATGATGCAGCTATAAAGGGGAGTAGATTGTGCATATTTTGACAAACCAGGAACTCTTCAGTATACATCAGTGTTCTTTCTTGAATTAGTAACAGGAACACCTTGCAGGCTTTACAAATAAGCAAGTTTGCAATGCTTCCTAGAAAAAGGTGTTTGCGTAATGCAAAATAACTGAACCTTAGGATTCTGGAATCAGAGATTTACCTTGGACATGGGTTGAACTTTGATTATCTGTATCTGTTTTCTGGACCAGGGGTAGCTGGTATGATATTTTCCAGATGCTGCTGAACTACAACTCCCATCATCCTTGACTATTGACCATGCTGGTTGGGCTGCTGGGAAATGAAATTCAACAATATTTGGAGAGCATCACATTGCTGACTATTTGAAAGACTATACGAATGCAAGCAGAAAATGAACTGTGGCAGATAGGTATAGGTTTGCAGGCACTTTTTATTGACCTTCCTGGGCTGCAAACAGTAGCTTAACCTTCAGAAATTTAGCTGAATCTTTACCTGACATTGAGATAAAGCAAGCGAAGAAAGCTCTCCATACTTTTTATGCATGTCAAGCCACTGATAATGACATAAAAGCACATCTAATAAAAAAAAAGTTGGCAATCTCTGGAAGGCTGACCTTGTTTAGCAAGAGATACCAAGACAAGCTAATATTTGACTTCGCAAGAAGATATATTTTGCAGTTATCCTAGTTGTGCACAGGAAATGATGCATTTTAGCAGATTAAACAAATAGTTGTAGCAATGTTTTAAATGGAATGTAGGCATGCAGAAATTTGACACTTGAAATCCATATGCCATAGGCATAGAAATCTCAGCTTTTGAGAGAAAGCCAAGATAGTAGCTCCTCCAGTTGATGAATATGAGCCTGAGCACTTTCCAGCTGTAAAATGAAAAGGGTCATCGTACAAATGGGATCGTTCCTCCTATCAGACAAGGTAAAATGGTTTCAAACCATCTGCAATACACATTAAAAATGTAGCCACTAGTGCATTTGCCATCTGGTTTAGTGACTTTTTATGATACTCTAAAAACTACTCTCCAATGGCATCTCCTTTTTTCCACTGGTGGGTGATGGTTGTAGTTACTATCAATGTCAAAACTCTTTGTCTACAGGATAGAAATCAGCCTTGCCAGCATTTCAAAAACTGGCCAGTAGTTTTGCTAGTACACAGCTTTGGCAGTAAAGAAGCCATTACTGTGGCAGTGAATTTTAGAAGGGGAAAAAAGAAGAAGAATCTAGGTGGAATTCATAAACATTCCCATTTGATTCATGCTTGAGAGGGGCTGCAATGTAATTCCCGATACAAGCCTAAAACACCATCCAAACTCTCACAAGACATTTCATTAGGGTATGCACTCAAGGCTTTTTTTGTTTAAAGGTAATCATTTATTGAATACATACTCATATTCAATCATAAAGGACATTATTTCTATTCATCAAAGTAAAAAAAACCCCTAAATTTAGCTTAATATTTTAAATGAGCAACTAAACTTAAAAAATACAAATTTAAATTTAGAAAGGGAGACAAAATACCATATTTTCTTCTGTAGATGTATACCAAATATATATACATAGATGCAGTCAATTTTCATTATCTGTATCTTTAGCCAGATGAGGTAGCCAAAATTGACCAAAACAGATTAAGATTTCTTCATTTTTTATTCCTAGAGAATGCAATGTTTCTCAACAGATGAGCAAAAGGTGACCAGTGGAGCTCAAACAAAGACAGATCCACGAGACATAGACAAGTGCAGTCAGAAGAAAAAGGCTGGAATGGACCTGCAGCTTCTGCCTACATCTGCCTCCTTCTTTAGTGCCACTTCTGGAGCCAATCACCTCCCCCCTGCTTTCAGAGACAGATGCTGGCAGGGACTGCATATCTCTTCCAGATGCCTTCCAGCCTTTTTTTCCTGCCTACCTCTATCTCTGCCTGCTTCCCTCTTCTTCCCATCTGACGTAGATTCACCCCCGCTGCTTCTTTCCTGCAGGTTGTGGCAGCTGAGGGAGCCAGATTGTCGCTCTGTACTTTCTCCTCCTCACCATGATATCATTTTTTGAAACATTAGGGGGTGCCTGGGCTGGGGTCATGTGTGAAACTGATTGTACAAATATTTGTAGGGTACATCAAGGACTAGCCACTGGAAACAGGTAAGTCCTTAACTGTTTGTATGAGAAACTATTTCAGGGAGGACCTGTAGCATATGAATGACTTCTCTGTTAGCATGGACGAGAAGTGAAAAATCCAATCTTTATTCCTTCATAAAAGAATATGGGCAAATGCAACCTTCAGTTCAGCAAAGAAAATCCTTTTCAATCACATTGTCACTTTGCTACAGAAGAGCCACGTATTAGAAGAATAAAATTGCAGATATATATTCGGGAATGGTCATTTGTGTGCATGTTGAGCCTAGTGATATTTTCACTTGAGAGCTACTTAGATTTCAATTGAATTTAGGGTCTTCATTGATTCCTTAGGTCACTGACAGTCCACAGCGCTTTCAGTTTTCAAATTGTTCTCTCTTATATTTTATTTGATGTATGCAAACAGGGACTTGCTTTATTTTTTTTAAAAAAAATACTTTGCTGCTCTGACATTTTATAATTCCAATTTTCAAAGAAAACTTTGCAAAGTAGGCCACAAAATAATGTCCTCCCTGTTGTAAGAAGAAAGGGAGGGGCAGGGGAAGGCACAATTCATGAGGCTAAGCGGTCACTGATTTGTTCAGGTAATCTTCCTTAAATTCCATCTGT